CACTCACAGGAGATAAAGTAGGCAGAGAGCAAAGGATGAGATCTATTAGCATGTTTGCATACAGGTTCTGTTCAGGTGCAGGTAAAGTCCTTGGACTATTTTTCCTACCTGTGTATGAAACAAAGACTTCTTTTATTAGTTACTAACTGCTCCTGAAATTACTTCCTTCCTACCCAAATCACTTTTGGCCTGATCTACAAGACATGACTATTTTTTTAATATATCCTTGTGAAGCTTCTAATATGACTAAAGTGATAAAACTTGCATGGAACAATAATTTGAGTAGGAATATAAATACCAGCTTGTACACTGAAATTGTGGATATTATTGAGTTACAAAAAGAAACAAAAACAAAATGTATGGGCTGTAAATAAAGTATTAATCAAAAGTGAAAAATTTAAACCTGGTAAGAAGTTTTTAAAATTGATTGGTAGAGCATGGAAAGAAAAGAAATATAAGACTAGGGCAATATGGTGGCAGAATAGGGTTGGTGAAGAGAAAATTTCACAAGTTGCCCTCACTGTCTGCCCTTCACACATTTTCTTGGACTGCTGGTATAACTCACATTAAACCTTTATTAAGTATTCAGCAGACTGAAATAAGAAATGCATTCTTTATGCTTACAGTTTTTATTTAAATACAAACCAAAATAAATTTATCAATAAAATACAAATACAAACCAAAATAAATTTATCAATAAAATATGAACAAGCCTATAAATCACTTATATCTTTATATAATGTGATACCATTTTTCCCCATTGATTTATAGTTTCTCTATTATCGTATCATGGGGCCCAGATGACTGTGTGTGTGTGAGAGAGAGAAAGAGAAAAACATCTGCCCTCGGTTATGTGTGCCACATGACAACTCAGTTCCCCAACACTTTATTCAAGTGACTTTAAAACTTCTTAGTACATTACTACACAGGGATGTTGTTTGTTTTTCATTTGACTGGAACATATCATTAACATGTTAATGATTAAATTCATCTTTGTTCTTCTCAGCAGCTGGGAACTATTAAAGTTTTGAAAATGGGCCAGAATCATGAAAAACACAAATACTAACAAAGAGGTTGATTTCCATATATTCCCAAATATTGATTATTTATTTGTATCAATTATCATAGGGAAGAATAATGCACCAACCTAGAAAGTTCTTTAAGAAAACACAGTGATCTCCATAAATGAACTTATTCTAACCCTCCCCCCCCACACACACACACACAGCTAATAAGTGGCTTGGGATATGAGTCTGGTTAATTCAACAATTCTCACCTGCTTGGAGAAGGAATAGAGTATGAATAAGTATGAATAGAGTATGAATAAGTTCTCAATCAAGCATGACAAAAGGAAGTAGATTTTGAGGAAACATAACATTCCATCCATTTGTTGAAATAAAGGGAAAATAAAGAAAAACTGAAGGACTTATTTTATATCTTTGCCAATATTGTTGCATGCTCAAGTGTACCAAAGTTAACAGGTAAAGTAATGGCCTAGGGAGGAAGGGGAGTAAAGGAGGCTTGATAAAGAGATGGCATTTAGTTAAGCCTTACTCAGAATGGGAATGAACAGCCCAAGGAAATCCCTCTACGTAGTCATATAAGTCTTGAAACAGCATCAAACTGGACAGGAAAGCAGGAACAGAAAGGAAGATTTGGGGGAGTCTGCCAAAGATAAGGTCAAAATAGCCATGGGGGTATGCAAGTCTAATATAGTGGTTACAATAGTGAAGGAGAATTGATGTTTCTGAAGATCAACATTGAAGAAATGTTAATAGGAATCTGATGTATTGCATGTGAGGACATAATGAAAGACAAATATAAAATTTAACAGTCAGTGATAGGGGGAGGAGAAGAATAATGATGTAATAAATGGGGAAATTAGTAAATGGAAAGGAACCAAATTGAGTGGAATGTTTGAGTGGAAAGAACTGAACTATCAGTTGTGATCATGTAAATCTCAGTGTTTTATAATTAACAGGAAAGACAAAATAGTGGGTCTATTTGTAACATGTACTATGTTAAGAAAAGTGGTTGAAACAAAAAATTATAAGACTTCTCAAATGTATACAAATGAAACATGAGATGAGAAGGAGTGTGCCTTGGAAGGAATGGAAAAATCTGCAGGAGAAATCAGGAAAGACACAAGGAGGAAGTAGGACAGTGTTAATAATGTGTACAACACAGAGACAGAAAGACTTAAGGCGGCAGGCCCATCTGTTAAATGCAGCCACAAGCTAAAAACAATGGCAATTATTGCCAGAGGTGTGATGTGATCACAGTTGATTATAATAGATGGTAAATTTATGGAGAAAGCTAATGCGAAAGAGGAGACTGCTGGGAAGCCTGTGAAAAGGAGCACAAGTTTACCCTTGGCTGGTGCTAAGGGCACCTTCCAGCCCAGCCCATCAGTAGATGACTCAGCAGTCCCACACAGTGATGAGGATTTTTGGCCGGAGGGCTCTTCCTGCTTCCTCTTTGGAGAACCTCTTGAGTCACTAGCTGTAGCCTTCTGCCTACTAGGGCATGGACTAGCCAAGTCAGAGGAAGCCCTGGTGAAGAACCTTTCATCCCCCACCCACAGTACTCAGAAGATGCTAGGAGATCAATTTACCTTCCATGGCTGAAAAGAGAGACCTTCTGGGAACCTCATAGTTGATCATTACTGCACATAGTGGACTACGGTCTTCCTACACCACCCACCCCACACTGTCACACTATTCACTAATTACACAATGACCGCACTTGAGTTAGCACACATAAGTGATCACTGCTGTGTCAGGTGTGCCGGGACAGATCGTGGATTAGAAGGTTTGAGGCCCATAAGCCTGGCAGGGACCAACGGCCAGGAGCAGCACACCATGCCATCATGGCCGTCACTACCTGCCAACGTGGCTGTGGTGGTGGCTTCTACTCCCTCTTTACGTCAACAAAAGTGAATATTCCTTTTGTTGTATTCCCCAAGGGGAAGTTTGTCAGTGTAGTGTACATCTTCTTTATACCGCTCTGACTCCATCACCCTGGACCACAGGAAAACACATAGCAGTTTGCTTTTACCTAGAGGAATGTGTTTAGGAAAGGCCAATGTAACTATTGATAGTACTGCACCAAGTAGTCCTACCTGGGTTATTTCATTGTCTTCAATCCTTTAGTTATAGTAGGATTATATGAAGAAAACTAAGGCAGAAAATACACACATGTACCCTAGATCACACAATTAGTAGTAGAAGGGTCAATATTAGAATGTAGTTCTGTCAGATAGCCACTTGTACAAGTGTTGATAGTAAAATATGAGTATTTATTGAAAGCCATGTGTGCTCTTTTTCACCCTGCATTGCAATTATTTACTTACTCATAGGAGTAGTTTGCCTGATTTATTATGGTGTAAACATTGAAAGAACATAGTTGAGCACTGAGATCCTTCAGAGCAGAATTTGTATTTCACTTGTTTGTTTCTTAATCTGTTCTAAATGGGCAGCCTTGTAGAAATTTAAAGAATGTAAGATTGCTCACTAAATTAATGCGTGGTTGGATTTTTTTTTTTTAATCTTTTTGGTAATGGGACCTCTAAACAGAGGTTCTTGTAGAAATATTAGTCACTATGATGAGGCAGGAGAAAAAAATCCCCAAACTGATGTAGGAAATGACATTTGTTCTGTCCATTTAAAAAGACAAGTTAAAAATAAATAAATTTTCCTTTCATTCCAACTTTGCTACACCAACATGAGTTTTTTCTTATGATTAATTCAAATCATGGGAAACAGTTCTCTCACTTTGCTCTTAACAATATATGTGAAATAACCTCTAAGTCACTGATAAGAAGATCTCAAATGTAAATAAGTTTAGGGCACGCACGCACCCTGACACAAACTATGCAACTTCTATCGCCCAAGAAGATCTGGATGGAAGGGAAACACTCTGAAAAATCAGAATTTCCACACTAACTTATGTTATGACCTCTCTTTTTTGTATAATCATAATATATCAAAATATTCTAAGTAACCATCAGTTTACGACTGGATTGCCTTAGCCTCGTAAGGCTCTGCCTGGCCCAGGCAAGCAAGCCATGCCCCGGAGTGAGAAATTCCTCTTGAAGTCATTAATTTTACAATTGGCTGATTAATAAAAGCAATTGGCTGTTATAGCAAAATCTATGTTGTAATATGAGGCAGTACTAGAACATGTTAAAAAATAACCAGAGTTCTTGTACTGCCCAGATGAGAACCCAAATCTCATCACTCTACTATCTTACTTAAGTTTTCTATTCAGTTTTAAAGGAACTACTTAAGCTTTCTATTCTTTAGTCTTTAAATGAGCAACTTTACTGTATCTCTTTTAGTGATTGATTTCCAAGAAAATTACTTCATTCTAGCCCTCTACTTTACCCTCTAGGATGTCTCAATGAGAATGAAGGTCATTAAGTAGTAATTAGGGTTAAAGGGACTTTATTTTAGCTAATCATCACTGTGGTAAATATAACAATACTAGTCTTATATTTTATGAATTGGTGTACCTGTCTTAACTTGAATTGATTTGAAGAATAATGTTATAATCTCAGCTGAAGGTCAAAACGATCCCAAACTGTTGTTACAAAAAAAGATAATTGTGATCCCTCTGCTCAATTCATATGCTAATGTTATCCCACTACTAGTGTAATGTACAAAATAAAGTTCTGCTGTGAGCAGAGCAGGAAGACTTGCACCCAAATCTGACTCCCTTGTCTTCTTTGCGCCTGCTCCCCGCCGCCCCCCTTTTAGCAATCTCCCCTCCTGGAAGCCACTCCCATCTTAAGACCCTGCCTGTTCTGCCCTCCAACAGCCAGTGATGGGGCTGTCCCCCACAACACCCACACCTGATTCAGTAACTTAGCATGTATATATGTATATGTATATTTATCTGTCTGTCTATCCATCTGCCACTTTCAGGTTTTCATCATGTGATAACAAAAACAGACAAAACTCAGTAATACTCCAATGTCATTAACTTTCTTGCTCTTACAGGTGAAGACAGATGACAGAGTGGTTAAGATGGACCTTGGTTTACTCTTCCTACGGATTCGCAAAGTGGACGCTGGGACCTATTTTTGCCAGACAGTAGAGCACAGTTTTGTTCATATAGTCCGTAAAATCACACTGGAGGTGGTGGAAGAGGAGAAAGTGGAAGAAATGTTTAACAAAGACTACGACGAGGACGGACCTCACAAGATGCCTTGTCCTGCGCAGAGCAGCAGCCCACAGGGTGCAAAGCCATGGTACAAGGAGTTCTTGCAGCTGATTGGTTATAGCAACTTCCAGAGAGTCGAAGAATACTGTGAAAAGGTGTGGTGCACAGATAAAAAGAGAAAAAAGCTTAAAATGTCACCCTCCAAGTGGAAGTATGCCAATCCACAGGAAAAGAAGCTCCGACCCAAAGCTGAGCATTATCGCTTGCCCAGGCATGCTGGACTCCTGACGGGGTGAAATTACTCGCCTCTGAAGAATCTATATTTGGAACCTAAAAGAGAGAGAGAGAGAGAGAGAGAATGAGCGCGAAAGAGAAATCATCCAACTCCTTTGCATTACTTAACATGAGCTTTCTGTAATACAGAAATGACTATAAAGGTGTTATAATAATTTATTCTGTATACTCACTTGACTGGTTAAGAATCACATAAAATTAATTTTTTAAAGAAGTGTTTTGCTCAGTGATTTACATTATATTTATCAAAAGTGACCATAGTGGTAATTTTAGGTATTGACTGCTTTTCTCTGGCAATTATTATTTGATTCTTGGAAGACAACATTACTGCAATATTGAAGAAAAAATAGAATTTAAGTATCACATAAAAAATAAAATACAAATGGTTTAATCTCTGAGTTTTATCTTTCCACTATAATGTAAAATATGCAGTATATCAGATACGTTAACATTCTTATAAGACTGTTTGTACTGTTAAAGAATTATGGTGTTAGTGTTGTCTAACCTACGAGTTTTCTGACGCGCAGGTATGTTATAGTTCTAAACCATGAAGGAAAAATTGTGGTTACGTTAAGGTTTGTGCCTTTCATAAAACATTCCATAAACCACATTCACAGTAAGTAGTTAATATTTGTTGCTTGATGAAAACATGTACTTCCAGTTTCACTCCCGGGTGGAAAGAATAAAGTTAAGGTAAACTTCTGATATATTTGTCAAGCTATAACTGAAAAAAATTTGCTGCCCTCTTGTGGTTGAGGACTACATTTTCTTTCTTTTTTTTTTACAAATACTTGTAAAAGATTTTGAAAGTTTAATGATAACTACATCTATTCCATTTTTAGAAAAAAAAATACATTAGTGCTTATGCCATCCTTGTGGATGAATATAACATGTTGATGAATAATTTATTACTTCACAAGCCAAAAATAAAGGCGTTACGACACTGAAACTCTATTAAAACTTAAATTTTATTTTTCCTAAATAATCTTCCCTAAAATCTAAAATATATTTCAGAGACATAATGTTTATTTATGAAAAAATATTAAAACATACTGCTCTCAGTTGTCAAATTTTCCTCTCTGTTATGTTAAAGGTAGGAAAATAATTTCATGAATTCATTTAACTACCAAAATGTTCAGAGCTATCTTTTTCACCTATAAAATTAAGTGATTTTATTTTGAGAATGTTTATTTCTTGAAGTTTCTCCTCCTCCTGTTCTATCATGTCTTTACCTTTTAAAACATGAAATTTTGTGGTGAGAATTTTCATTTAAATAAACATGAAAAGCAAGTGGATAGAACATAATACTTATGAATATTTAAATGCTAATTTTAATAATACTTGTTTTCAAACTGAGTATATAGGTTATCTGACTAAGAGATTTGGTGTTGATAATTTGTAATAGCTTGCATTCACCTAAAAAATTTTAAAAAATTGTTAAAGTTCATCCTGTAAGCACAAAGGGTTTAAAGGATACACAACTATAATAATAAATATTCTCTGAAAAAATTCACTTGCTATTTACCTTAAAGTCCACCGGGGGTCATTGCTGCCCACCAAAACGAACTACATCAGCCCATACGGAAGATAAGAAACTGTCTTCCTCAGTGTGGAGAAGTGGAACCATAGCCACAGAACACAACTCTTCTCAAAGCCTCTCTTTTATATATTCAAAGTAAACAGATAAGTCAGTCAATCACAATTTATTGAAAATATTCTTTCATTAGAGGCAAGAGCAGTATTTTCTCTGATATTTGAATTTATAAATTCAAGTAAGACAGATGTGGCATACTAGTTATCATTTTACGCTCAATAACACATACAAAACAATTAATTCAGTGATAGCAGTGATGCCACTTGTGAACTAAAAAATGCAGTAACTAGAGAATTAAACCTGAAGAAAATACTGTGCCATAGCTTTAAGCATGAAGTGGAACTACAAGTTGGTCAACTAAAATAAAATGACTACTAGCTAGAAAAGAAGGTTTATATAAAATACTAAAATTGACCCTAGAAAAATAAATCCCAAGAAAGTATTTTAAATTGCTGATTTGAAAGAAACCTGATAAAATTTGAGGGTTCAATCCAGCAATTCAGGAAAAGCATTGATTTCCTATATGTGTGAGGGGTATTTATTTTATGTTTTGTCATCCCTTTCTTCCCACTTGGAGGTGCCAGCATGGCACACACAGTGGCACAACATGAGGTAAATCTCTATTGCCTTTTAAAAGACCAACCAACAACCTACATTGTTCTGTCCTTGAGAATCTGAAACCTACCACAAAATTATATTCTGAATCTTATTCATCTAGGGTTAGAACTCAAATTTAGAATCTCCTTTGAGAACTGCACAGGCTTGGAAAATCAGAGACAAATGGGTTAGATTTATTTCCTTGTTCTTGAATAGGGTATGGGTAGATAGTTAGCCACCTGCAAGATGAGGACGAATTCTGACTTCTCCCTGACCTTCTAAATTCTATCCAGACATCACACTTCCTGAGGGAGAGAAATCATGCCTTCTGGAAACACACGACTGGAATCAAAACCACCTCTCTGTCCTAGTTTTAAAGAAGCATCACCAAACCAGTTCAGTCTATTTCTTCAGACCTCTTCCAACCTATTTTCTGTAAGGGGAGGACCTGTAAATAGAATGATCCTTATAATGTAAAACAACACACATCTCCTCTTTCAATGCCCTGTCACCCAGCAATATAAAGGTGCAGATTTGTTAGTAAAAAGAATTACAATTTAGGGTTTTACTTCAAGATTTTTGAGGTCTCTTTTGCATCTACTGTTCCTCGTTGCTAGTATTTTCTTTTGTATTTATTACTGCATATTTCAGTATATAACTATCAACTTGGGAAAACAGGGATTGAAAATAGAAATAAACACTAATAAGAACTAGAGGGAAGGAAACAAAGACTTTGCTTGTTTAGTAAGTGGCAATCTCTTTAGTAAGAGATTTTTCCCTTCACACAATTTATTAAATACTAAAGATTTTTTCAAGTGTCTAATATTTCCTAGAGGGTGTAGGGTTTTGTAAATCTTCATAGTGCTTATGAACATTTGTAAAGTTTGTAAAATACGATAAATCGTTTTAAGTGTTAATGTTAAGCATGAAGCAAACAAAGCAGCTGTTGTCCTTACAAATGTGTTACCTTATAACATCCCTTAGCCTGTGAATATAGAATTACTTGGCATTACATAGGTGTTCTTTCTCCCAGGTGAAAGTGCTGAGTGATGACAGTAAGAGTTGATGCTCTTTTTCATAAAACAGAGTATCACATTGAATTACCTTCTCAAAAGCAGTGCTCATGTTTCAGGCCAACAACTGTTGCATTTGAATGAGATATAAATAATAGATTCTCAAAAAACACTCTTCGATTGTAGTGAGTTATTTAAGTTGCTATGTTTATTTCATCTTATTTTCCTTCAGAAGATGGCATTGTATTTTTGACTTTCATTAAATTGAATGTGTTCTGTTTGTGTTTTAGTGGCTTAGTGATAAGCTAGAGGAACTATACAGGGGTATCTTTGTCTGTGTGATTTCCTTTCATATGCTTGCTTGGGTTCAGATGGCATGTGCCATATATTTTTTTCACTGATTATAAGCCATGAGACTTATTATTACTTGTTGAAGCTACAAAGACTAATGACAATGTCTCTTTGACTATCACATGGATATGCCACTATGCACTGCATAATTTGTCTATATATTATATACATTTCTATTTGGTTCAATTTAGATGAAAAAGAAATAAATATTTGCTAAACCATTAAGTTCTGTCCAAGGAGTGCTTTCTAAGGTTTTCGTCAATGAAACTCATGTTTTGTGCTGTATCAACCTAGAGGTAAATGTATAATGGTAGGCTAGCTCTGTTTTTGTTGTTATGTAGAAATCACTAAAGAATTCAATTCTCTTTCCTTGGAAATAAATGTGTCTTCATTATAACAGAGAGTCTGTTTCTCTAGGAGCAACAGTCTGAAATTTCTTTCAAAGCTGCTTCATGCAGATGAGATAGAAAATGAATGTTTTTAAAAACTGTTAGTAGAATGGTCATGATTTTTTCAAGTTTCAACTTCTGTCTTATCGTATCTGAATTCTGCTGTTTGTAAGATTTGGAATGGTTATTTAAAGAAGATACAGGGTTAAATGAATCTCTCTTTTGAGAATTGTTTTCAAAACAAGTTTTATTTTATTGGTAAATAATTAGTCACAATGTTTTAGAAGTTGACTTTGGCAGCTTTCCAAGGTAGTGTTTAGGACTTCATACTATGACAAGGCCATTGATGTTTATACATGCTTCAAATTGTATTCACTTATAATACGAACATTTTTTTAGTGTAGTATTTAACCCATTGAAGCTGTTCTTTAGTTACATATTGAATCATAAATCTAGAAAAAAATATGTGCTTCATGGGGTGTAGAAATGTTAACACTATGTAGTTTTCTGACTAAATAAATTTGCATTATACTTAAGAGTATGTTTACATTTCATTACAAAAATTCCAAGAGAAGCAATTATGGCAACTAGAAACCTCTTGCCTACTATTAATTGGAACGAAAGTAGGCACTCATCTACTTACTCAAAAGTGTATGCCAGTCATTTGGCCATGTACTTCATGGGGTGTAGAAATTCTAATGACACCATGAAGTTTTCTGACTAAATAAACTTGCATTATGTTTGAGAGAGTGTTTCCATTTCATTGCAAAAATTCCAAGTCTTCATTTTACACTCAAGATATAGCTTTTATGATATATTTGAAATATTGGAATGCTGTTAAAGTTACTTTTAATCATACACTTTGAGACTTCTGGTCTGGATAGCAATGAAAAGTCATTGGTTCGGAGGAGCTACAGTGATGTGACAATAATCAGTGGTATATGGAAAGGAAAGAAATTATTGAATAAAAACAACAAATAAGATAGAGCAAGAGGGCTCTGACCAGGAGTGAGTCAGCCAGCTCTTCGCTTGAATTCCCAAACCTCAGAGCTGTGAGAAATCAGTCTCTGTTAGGTAAGTTACCCAGTCTATTATGGCACTTTGTTATAGGCCTGAGAGGCTTTAATACATAATAGGAAACACAGAACAAGGCAGAGAGATTAGAATAAACAGAAATATGCAAAATGAGCCCACTAAGAAAACAAAAATGAGCCCAAAATTTCTGAAAATATCTAAAGTAAATAAGGAGTGGTATCTGGAAAAACTGATAAAAAATGGTCTCCCACCTAGGATGACTAGTTGCTCATATCCTAAATTAAGTTAGGATACTCAGAAAGTTTCCAAATTATAGTTTTTGTCTCCATGATTCAGAGGTTGGTTCCAGGAAGAGGAAAATGAAATTACAATCTCACTCTCCAACTTGAGAACACCAAAAAAAAAGGTAAGTAACCTGTAATGAACGGATGAGCCTTGCAGTTATTCTATGAATTCCATTTAGTTGGGACAGACAAAATGGCTTCCTATTTTTACATGTTTTTTAAAGCAACTTGAAATAACTCAAATTCATTATCTCAGGATTTTCATAAACCAGAAGTCCAGGGACAACATGCCCCAACCTAATTCTCTGCCTGGGATTTCAAAAGGCTAACATCAACATACTTCCACATCTTGAGCGCTAGAGAAAAAGCTTCTTCAGGTACTTGGGAGAGAATTCTCTTTCTGTCTCTCTCTCTCTCTTTTTTAAGATTATTTTATTCATACAGAACTGGGGTACAAGCCAGAGGAGCAAGGGCAGTGAGAAGATTCACCAGAGAGACAGTGGAGAGCAGAACAGGCAGATCGAGGAAGTGCACTGCTGATGGGAGCAGAGGGCAGGTCAGGAGTGGTCTGCTGCACCTTGTGGGTCATCCCGGTGCGGGGAGCAAACTCACACTGAAACGGCTGTGGCCAGCTTGCAGTGTTGCTTCCTAACCCGTTGCACCACCAGGGAGGGCCCGGGAGAATTCTCTTTTTTGTGGTCCCTCTGCCCTCCCATGTCCCACATCAGCAGTCAACTCGGGCCCTTCATTGACCTGGAGACTCCCTGATTTCATCTTGATGCTGCTTTTCTCTATTTTCTCTTTACCTTTTCTGTTTCAAAAGGTTTGTGATGCTCCCCATCCATTTTATACAGGCTAATCTTATTGTAAAGTTTATAACTTTAATTATTTCTGCAAAGTTCCTCTTGCCACAAGATAACATGTTTTCAAATCTGGGAAATTGGAGCAGGGGAATATTGGGGAACTACAGTCCATTCTCTGCTTCACAAAGATTTTCATTCTTTCAAAATGCAGAAAGCACCCTCTCCAGGTCTCCAAAAGTCCATTCCTATCATAACATATGCTCAGTTGTCCCAAATCTTATCATTTTCTTCTAAAACTGTGTGCCTGGAAGTCTTGGTGAATTATCAAATGTCATACCTTCCTAGCATACAATCCCCATCCAGTTGTGGCCCAAGAAAATAAAGGTATGGGTTATCTGCTGCTACCGTGCAATGATGGGACAGGCATGGGACAATAGTTTAAAGATATTCTGGTTAAAACAGAGAAAATGTTCAGTGTAATTACCAATACAAAAATTAGTCAAAATTTAGACTAGTAACCTCCATTGGGTTTCGAGGTTTATGAATGTTCTTGAGTGGTCCTCAACTTTGACCTCCAAATCTCTGTTTTGAATTGTGGATTCTCTATTCCACCCTCTAGAGTCCACAATGAATTTTTTTAAATGTCAAAGGAAAAACTTAGCTTTCCTTAGAAAGTTAATGTGAAGCATGGAGGGAAATATTATTATATTACCTCCCAATTTTTAAAAATTACCTTCTAGTTAAAACCAGGATGATGTGTTATTGAGAGATGACATTGAATGAGTACGGTAACATTCTACTAGTAGGTAAATTATGTCTCCATATTTATATTCCCTAAAATGTTTGTGGGAAGGTGAGGTCAAAGCAGGATTCAGGGAGAAATAACAGCAAATCTTTTCATATTCATAAGCACATAGTATGTTTAGTAGTAAATTTTGCAATGCATTATCTCAATTAACACTGAAAAACAAAATGAAACCTCTTTGAGGTAGGTGTCTTTATTTATAGATGAGAACACAGAAGTAATTTTGTAAATGTTAGATCCAAGAAAGGAGTTTAAATGAAGTGATATGAAAGCCAAAGAAGTGAACCTCTAAACCACCTGATGATGTGAGGACTTTTTGTTTGGTGAGTATGTAAAGATCTCGTCATCTTTTTTTTTTTTAAGATTTATTTATTTATTTGTGCATACAGAACTGGGGTACAGGCCAGAGGCTCAGGGGCGGTGAGAGGCTTCACCAGAGACAGAGTGGGGAGCAGAACAGACAGATTGACGAAGTACACTGCTGAGGGGAGCAGCGGGCGGGTCAGGAGAGGTCTACCATGCGATGTGGTCCAGGCGGCAGGCGGGAATCGAACTCATGCGGAAGTGGCTTCAGATTCTCAGTGCTGTGCTTTAACCCGCTGCGCCACCAGGGAGGGCCCTCGTCATCTTTTTAATTGTTTTTAGTCAGGTTTCATTTTTGCTCTCCAGTTCTTATCTTAGTCGTCCTCCCTGTTTCCCTCCTCTGTTGCTTCCTGTCCTCCAACTTTACCCAGCAACCAAAGTCATCTTCCTAAAACAGATTCCATCCTGTCCCATGCTGCTTAAAACCATTCAAAGCTTCTGTTTCATTGATAAAACAGACTGCTTACCTTAACTTGACTTATGCTTTACAAGTCATCTCAAACTCCATCCCCATTCCACTTTCTTTTTTTTTTTTTAAGTTTTATTTATTTGTACATACAGAACTGGGATACAGATTAGAGGTGCAGGGGCAGTGAGAGTATTCACCAGAGACAGAGTGGGAGCAGAACAGGCAGATTGACAAAGTACACTGCTGAGGGAAGCAATTTTTACATGTTTTTTAAAGCAACTTGAAATAACTCAAATTCATTATCTCAGGATTTTCATAAACCAGAAGTCCAGGGACAACATGCCCCAACC